CTCCAACTTTAACAAGATGCTAGGTTGCCTCTGGATCCCACTGGGTTCTGGTGCTGGGCCAAGGCAGGGTGGCTGACTGCCGGTAAGCATGAGGAGGAAGGAGACAGGGAGCCAGTGAGGTGTGGGAATGCTTTAGAGGGGGTCCTTCCTTTCTTGGCACCTCCCACTGCCCAGCCTCTATGCCTGCCTGCTTGCAAAGCAAAAATGATGACAGTATGGTCTCCACCACTAGGGAGGATTTTCTTAGGAAAGGAAGGTTCCTGGAAGGAACCTGTGAGGGAGGCCAGGGGACTTTTCAACTCTTCTCTTTGCTGTTATGCTTTATCTGACTCAGTTTTGGTTCCATTGAGTTCACAGACTGGTTTAGAAAGTTTTAAGTAGTCATTGCTAGCATTTAAACCTCTTCCCGATTACACCATGAAAATACACCCTAGAGCCTCTTTGCGAGCCTGTGTAGTGAAATTACAACAGGACTGGGAGGTTGGAAGTAGGATCCAGTGCCATTGATGAGTAAGGAGTTCCCACTTCTCCCAGGTACAGAGATGGTCCGACTGGTGGCCTTACTATAGGGTCTCCAGATACAGGGGAAGAAATACAACTCCCAGCCTGCTAGATTTCCGATATGCTGAGTTCATGTTCCCAGATTCAAAGAATGAATTCTGAGGAACAACAGCAGTTAAGAATAGGAAATATTTATTGAGGGGGAAAGATACAGTTCCTGAGAGAGACAGGAGAGGACCTGAAGGGATTACCCAGACCACACTTTGCAGGGAAAGATTTATGGAGTAAAATCACGAGGTGGGTACAACATGGTGTCGACAAAACTATGATCAACCAGTAAGATTACAAGAAGTGCCACGTGGGTAATCCTGTGACAGTGGGGAGGCAGGTCACGTAGCAAGTATACCTGGAAAGAACAAAGAACTTTTTCAGGAAAGGATGCATCCAGAAGTCTTGGCCACACACTGGGGTGACTGATATCTATCTAGACTTTATTATATTGGGCCACTTACCTTATCCCTTGGGAAAGCATGTAGGCCTGGTCATTTCACCTTTATCTTGAGGCCTGGCCTCCAACAGATGTGTCTCCAGCCACAGTTAAAATGTGCTTTCATCTGTTGTACTGATTCTTTGGAGGGCCCGGCCCCGGACTGCCTGTGATGTTTGGACCAAGTAACTTAGCTGTCTGTGATATCCTGAGCATTGTGCCTGCTGCCTGCTCCTGGGAGTGCTCCTTGTGCAGAGAAAGGTGGTTGTACCTACTGCAGGTATGAATATTCTAGAAAGACTGAGAGAATGCAGCATATTCTTTAGCTTCCTCTGGGACAAGCCCCCTTACCCTTGGACTGCCTGCAGCTCTCCTCGGATTTCCCTCTACCAGAGTGGCCTCCCCAACCCGTGGATGTGATCCCCCTCTTACCTCCAAGCTTGATCCTAGCAGCTGTCCTACCTATATTGTGTTTGCTCAAAGCTCTAGTGACCATCTGACACGTTATTTATCGTGTGAGTTCCAGGGGAGCAGGCAGATGCTTGTTCCTGTCTGCTAAGTAGACCCAGGCCTAGAGCTGGGCCAGCCAGGTAAGCACCTCTAGCTGTTAAGAACCTAGCCCAAGACAGAACTGAGGGCCAGTCCTGGCTCAAACATGCAGTGAATGCAGGGCATGGGCAGGTGGCTATAAACAGGGCAAATTGTGGCCCTGTGTGTAAACTGGGACCGTCATTGAAATGCTTCACAGGACTTAGTGCATACAGCTTCTGAGAGATGTTAAATCATGTAAATTGTTTAACTTCAGTTAGGGATGGGGGAATGGTAATAAACTTTATTTCTTTCTTTTTAAAAATGTGATATTTCTAATAGGTTAAACGGCCAGCTGTCAATTCAAAGAAGACTAATGTGTACGTAATGGAATGGTTATGTTGAATGGTGGTGCAGGAAAAATAGGTTGTTTTGGATAGGATGATTAATTTAGTGTACTAAAATTCTAAGTCATTAACATTTCTGCTTTGGTAAATATTTATAAAGGGAGCCTATTACTCGCCGGCTTCTGCTCCATATTGTGGCTACAGTCATCATATGTGAGATCTAAAAACCTTCAGGAAACCTCAGCTTAGTGGAGCAGATGGAGAGAGGTAGTTGGTATAATTTCTGAGAATTCTAGAGGATCCTCTTCTAAGGATGTTTTTCCTCTTGCATCTCTCTGAGGACATTGCTTATCCATATCTGAACATCTTATTCTCTTAGTTCTTGTTGCCATATTTGTTGAGAGTAAGGGGATGGGACCAGGGTGAGCAGGGTGCATCTGTGTTTCGTTTGGCTGGTCTGCCTGCTGGGCCCCTGCTAGGGTGTCTAGGAACCTGGGTGGGATACCTTTTATGAGGAGACAGACATGGTGTGTTGTGGTAATCTCTACAAGGCTAGTGCTTCTCTTTGTTGGGTGCAGTGCATGGGAGACACAGTTGGCTGTGATCAGTCTTTCTTTCCTCTTCAGTAAAGGGCTATCCATTCATTTATTTAGCAGGTAATTTCTGGGCAGTTATTGTGCTAATCACTTGGAGCAAAAGGGGTTTTGCCTATAAAGAGTTAAAATTGTGAGGATTGAATGTGTCAGCAAGGTGTTTTATGGTGTGTATGTAAAGCCTCAAAACATTACAAGAAATATCTTTTGGCTTTTTATCTCTATCAGTCTGTCTATCTGTCTATCTGTCTGCCTGTCTGTCTGTCTGTCTGTCTATCTATCTATCTATCTATCTATCTATCTGTCTGTCGAGGCAAGGTCTCACTGTGTTACCCAGCCTGGCCTTAAACTTCTAGACTCAAGTGATCCTCCCACCTAAATCTCCCGAGTAGCTGAGACTACAGGGGTACACAACTTGCCCCTGCCTTTCCTGTTTTTTTTTTTTTAATAGGACTTGTTAGTTTAGATTGCTATCTTAGAAAACAAAAGATATTACTCATTGTGAACTCTTACTTGTATTTTGTTTCCACTTACCTCTTTCCACAAAGGAATTACATATGCATTCCAAATTTAATTTACAGCACACAGATACATTTCCAAAATTTATTTTCAGCAAGTGCAGTTACAGGAAGGCATTTCCCTATAGATCACACGTTCACAAGGTGTTCTTAGCTTAATGGTGAGAAAGCCACTTGTGTGTCCTCAGAATAGTAACTACTTCACAGTGTAAACATGTACCATTATTGTGTTTTCTTACAATTCTAGAAGGAAAGGCACAACTTGGCAAAAAGACGTTTTTGTTTGTAAAGTCAGGTGCAATAACTGAGAGGCAAAACTTCTAGTATCAGTCTTTGTCTTTTTTTTTTTTTTTTTTTCTGGTACCGGGGATTGAACTCAGGTCCTTGCGCTTGCAAAGCAGGTACTGGAACCACTGAGCTAAATCTCTGATCCTCTAGTATCAGTCTTGATCCACATTTCATTAAGGGTCTCCACAGTGGAAAAGACTTCTCTACCTAGAAATTGCGTCTTTTTTTCTCTGTCCTCATTGTACTGCCTGAGCAATGTTTTATCTTTGCTGAATATGATTACATGTACAAAGGGAGATTAAGAAAAGGAGTCATAAAGACATCTTGAACATCTAGCTTTTCTCACCAATATTTCAACTCTTAGGTTTAATATGCATCCTAGGAACACTTCAGTGGATGTAAAATAGGAAAATAGGGACAGTGGCTACAAAAAGAAAAACTAAATGAGGTAGTTAAAGCTTTCATACCCAGGACTTGCCTGTTCCGTACCCTTTATGAGATTCATGAATGAAAACAGTTCTTTTAGAGTGCAAGCCCTGGCAAACTCGAAGTCACCTGAGAATTCCCACTCATGTGCCCACCTCTCCTGGTACCTGGAAAGTGTAGGCATCTGGCAGTTGTGGGGAGTAGCTGGCACTCTAGGGCCTCCTGACAAACTGTTTTTAAAATAACAGCAGCACACACTGGCTCCCTAAGGACTAAAGTAAATCCATGCAAGGGCATCTACTCATGGTCCTAAGATTAATTCTGTTAATTCTGCAACCTTGGTTTTCTGGTGTGTGTGGTGTGTGTGTGTGTGTGTGTGTGTGTGTTTAGTTTTGATTTTCCCTTTTAGGTACATTGAAACACAACAAAAGATGGTTATATAGCATTGGGGGAGCCATATTAAACAGGACCCTAAATAGATGACAGCCCTTTCTCCATTTACCCATTTACAGTTGCCTTGCAAGTATACAATACCTCACTTTCACAGTTAGGCTAAGTAGTTGTCTTTTCCACTGTGGGTCAGTAAGTTCCAACTGGCACACCTTGACAGGTGAGAGTCTTGGGAAAGAGTCGCTCTAGGTTAGACATAGCTTCTACGTATAGTTTGTTGCAAGTAATAAAGCTACTTTCTAAGAGTGCTTCTTTCTAAAATAAAATAAAAAACCTGTTTCGGTCTGAATTGAATGCCGAAGTTTGGGTCACAACTGCGAACATCATTAATAAGAATAAGAAAAAGAAAACTGGAGGAGATGGATCTTTAAGAAAACCAAAATAAAGCACAGATTCTAGAGGCTTCATTCCATCTACATTCTCCTTCTATGAGACTTCCTGAAATTAGCTGACCGCAGTCTTGTTTTCTTCCAGGAAGTGAGGCAATTGGTGCTTGGCCACACTGTCAGTAACACCTGGCTTTTTTTGTATCAGCCCTGACACCTGCCTGGGAGTCATCCATCTTGGAAACAGTGGTGTTACTGCCCACGGAGCTAGCCCACACGCAGAGTGGGAATGCTGCCGCACTAGGTCACCAAGGTGTCACTGGTCTTCACGGTTAGGTTGCCGTAGAGCATGCTGACTGGTTCCACACCACCGCGTCCACACTCACCAAGGGGGCAGGATTTCCTTGGAAACATTTCTGAGACTCTTCCTATCCATACGCATCAGGGGGCCACTGTGTCCTCAGTGGCCACCTTCCTCCCATGGTGACCCCATATGCCATGTAGTGGACTGACCTTCAGGTTACTGTTGGTGGTAAATGAAATACAGAAGCTTCTTGAATTTGTGTGCCTTCCTTGTGCAGGGCCATGCTAATCTTCTCAGTATCATTACAGTTCTAATGTATGTGCTACAGAAGCAAGTATATGTTTATTTCTTTTTCTTTTTTTTTTTTTCTGGTACGGAGGAGCAAAGTCAGGACCTTATACTTGTGAGGTAGGCATGGTGCCACTGAGCCAAATCCCCGGCCCATGTGCTTGTATTTCTATAATGGTTTTGTTTTGCTTCAAGCAGTGAGTGGATGAGTAGATGAATGAATGAACAAAAGAATTTATAAATAATCCACAGCAAAAGGATTAATAGTTTTTCTAGAGTCTACTTAACATGAATAATTTGACAGGTTTTTTTCTTTTTAATTAGTTTCCTTATTTAAATTTAAAAAACTTTAATTTTTGGAGCAGTTTTAAATTCACAGCAAAAGTAAGCAAAATGTACAGAAAGTTCCTAAATACCCTGCCCCCACACGCACAGTCTTCCCCCGTATAGGCACTGCTGAACCACAGTGGGATGTTTGTTACAAGCCCTGAATCTACACTGATACATCATTATCACACTAAGCTCGTAGTTTGTTCACTTGTGGTGTTACACATCCTTTGAATTTAGAAAAATTTCCTGTGTAGTGTCATATAGAATAGTTCCATTGCCCTAAAAATCTCAGTGCTCTGCCTTTTCTTCTCTGTTTCCTTTTTAACCCTTGGCAGCTATTGATCTTTTTACTGTCTCCAAGGTTTGGCCTTTCCCATAATATCATATAGTGGGAATTATACAGTATATAGCCTTTTCAGGTTGACTTCTGCTTAGTAATGTGTGCACTTAGGTTTCCTCTTTGTGTGTGTGGTGTGTGTGTGTGTGTGGTTGGATAACTCATTTCTTTTTGATGCTTAATAGGACTCCATCATCTGAACATTAACACATGTTTGTTTCTTGTGGTGTTTTTTTGTTGTTTTGTTTTGAGACAGTGTCTTACTATTTAGCCCATGCTGGCCTCTATACTCACAATCTTCCTCTTGCCTCCGCCTGTGAGTGCTGGGGTTAAAGGAAATGTACCACAGTGTGTGGCTTTACCACAGTTTATTCATTCACCTAGGAGAGTTGCTTCTGGGTTTTGGTAGTTTAATCTCTATGCAGGCTTTTTAAATGGTCATAACTTTTCAGCTCCCTTTTTTTTTGGTACCAGGGATCGAACTCAGGACCTGGTACTTGTGAGGCCACTTGCCCAGCCCCTCAGCTCCTTTGAGTACACAGTAAGGAGCTGAGCCAATTTGTGAACTATATAGTGAAGAGTATGTTTAGTTTTGTAAGAAACCTCCAGACTCTTTCAAAGTGTCAGTCATTTTGTATTCTCCCCAGCAGCAAATGAGAATTCCTGTTGCCTCATATCCTGTCTAGCATTTAGGGACATCGTGTTCTGGATGTAGACCATTTTATATGTGTGTCTCAGTACTTCATTACTTTGATTTGCATTTCCTTGGTGATACAGGATTCTTTTCATATCCTTATATGTCATATGTGTATGTTCTTTGGTAGTAGGTCTGCTAAGGACTTTGGCCACTTTTTAAATGAGTTGTTTTCTCATTGAGTTTTTAAAATTTTTTGTGTATTTTGTATAAAGTGTTTATGAGAGCTCATGTGACTGCTGGAGGTGGGGCATTTCTAAGGAGCAGAGATGGTTGCAGTTTTCTGACTGCAGATAAGGCTTCTCCTATGCTTGTTGCTGTTGATTATTCAAACCTCAGAGTGTCCACTTAAAAAATTTTGTTTCATTTCATCACTGTATTTATTGTTTTATGCAGAAGCCTTAAATTACTGCCTGTAGTTCTTGTTTAACTTTGCCAAGCTCAGTTCTCAATTACTTTGAAATGCGCCTGGCCTTTCTGACAGGTGTTTAGATTTCAGAATTGGGCACTAACTGTTCAAGTCTAGTAGTTTGTTGGTTTTTTTTTTTTTTGTACTAGTCTCCCAGTTTAATTCCCATGAAAAATTCAGTTTTCTGAATGGAGTCTTTAAAATCCAAAGTACTTCCTCCTTGCACTTAATTGGATGAAAATTAGCAAATCCTATAAAAAACCTAATTAAGCAAGACCTAATAGGGATATGTAGGGCAAGCGTATGTCCCGAGAGCCAGAACAGCCCAATTTAAGCTGGTGGTTTTGGCCTCATTATTAAAGACTTTTTTTTTTTAATCTCAAAAGTTCATGCTTTGGATAGTAAATTTTCTGGAACCCCTACCTCGTAGGCATATGAAAATGTTAAATATTTAAAAATCTGTGACTCTGGTTATTGAAACTACCACATTATCATCGCTCAACATTTAGGCAACCCATGTATTCTTGGAACCAGATACCAAGGCAAATGGTAAGGAAAACAAATTCTCTGCAGTGAATGAAGTGTTGCATACATAGAATGAGAGCTTGTTGATCTACAGCAGTGATAGTCTGTGGATGTGGCTGAACCGTGTGTTAAATGAAGGACAGGAATGTAACAGTTAATGGGAGGAATGAGGGCCTTATGTTGGCATTGACTGCAGAGGATAAGAAGGACATCTGCTAATAGAGACCGTGGAAGGTATTTGTTAAGGAAGATTAACTGTAGATCCTTGTTGGCGATTCCCTGCTGGCCTGGACGATCCTGGGAATAGCATGACCTAGGGAAGTAGTTGCTCTCAGATTTACCATGGAATGACACACTCTCCTGCAACATCTCACAGTAAGAGAGGCTTTGCTTTGCTGGAGTCAAAGATTATGGAGGTGCTTTTTCGGAACAAAGATTAATCGTGCTGTTTGGGCCCTATAATTGGAAATTAAACCGTCAGTGTTACTATATGCATCTTAGAAGGGTTTCTTCAGTTAGATTTTTTTTAAAGCAAGGAATAACCTTGTATTGTTAAATAGCCTTTTTGCATTGTGTTGTTTCTCTCTTGTTAACAGTTCCATAATATTCTTCTAAATATACCAAATTATAAATCATTGAAATATCTATGATAATAAAATTATCTTAAATTCTGAATTTGATACTATGCTAAATATTTTTTTAATATCTTGCTAATGAAAAAGTCCTGCATTGTATCTGTTTGTGACAAACTCTCTGTTTCTTTGTTTTGTCTCCATCTTTCCCATTGGAACCCATTTTCAGCTGCCTGATCCTTGGCTGTTGATCCTCTTATGGGTGAAACATTGAAAAGCTGGCTGCAGGTTCTGTACCTGAGTTTTTAAAACCAAGTTTGAGAGAGTGTCCAACATTTTTCTTGATTTTTTGTTGAGGACTCTAGATGTATGGATCTGATTGATCCAGAAAAGAGCCCTGCACCAGCCGTGCCTTCCTCCTCCTGCAGGCCTCTTGGCTTTGTCTTGAGAGCGAAGTCTGAAGTTTTGTTTCTCTGTAGTCAACAGTAGGTAGCAAAGGGGTACAAGGAATTTCTATAACAGGGCCCACTGAGCTATAGTCCATGGTTTCCCCTTTTTAAAAAAAGACATCACCTTTTGTGATTAAGTGTAAAATCTGACACGATTTTGGTGGACTAGTGCATGTATATAGTTGCATATGGATTGTTAAGTGACGTGGGAATCCAAGTCTGAAATGATGGCGCACTTTGAGGCATTGCTGTGTCATTCTGATTCCATGCACACCAGGCTTTATGGGCACTGGAGGGTAGTGATGGTGCTTGGAACTGGCACACAACTAGACAGCATTCAAACTCTTCTTTCTTTTAAGCCATTCTTCGGAAGTATTCCCTTCTACTGTTGTTTTTTTGTTTTGTTTGGTTTGGTTTTTTTTGGTACTGGGGTTCGAACTCAGAACCTTGTGCCTGCCGGAACCACTGAGCTAAATCCCCAGCCTTCCTTCTACTGTTTTTAATCTATTGGTAGCTTACAATATTGTATAGAAAATGAAAATATAATATCTGTATTTTTGTTATTATGGTTAATACCAATGGCTTGGGGGAAGAAGTAAACAGATACCTCTTCAGAGGCAAATAAACAAGTCCCCCTAATCCATACAACTCTTATCCAGAGTATTTAACAATATGAGTAAAAAACAAAACTGTGACTCACACAAACACAAAAAAAGTACTAACTTTTGGATACCAACCTCAACTGTTATTTTCAGTAGATTTTTTTTTTTACAGAATCTTACTGTCTGTTCCAGAAAGCACTGTAAACATTCATCTCCTTAACTGAGCATCATGAAGAATTAAGCCTCTTCCCTTCCTAACTGAAGGAATATAGACAATTATATTCCCCCAGATCTGTGAATAAGGACAGAAGGAGAGAGTTGGGTAGGGCCTTGGGTTCCTTGCATCAGTGCCTTTCCACTTTGTCTGTGTCTTCTGAGACCCCAGGCTCCATCTGGGCCCTGGAGAGCCCTTGCTGAGCAAGCAGGCACATATGGAGTGTGTGTTTGAGTTGTGCTCACTTCCAGGCCCCAAAACTTCATTTCACTTCGATGGCAATACTCCCCCAGACCCCAGTCCCCAGCCTCCAACAGGTGTTTTCTGAGCTCCGGGAGACTGTCGGCCAATCCGAGGAAGTTCATTCCTGTGGACTCTGGTGTTGGACCCTGGATGCTCAGGCCATTCACAGGAGCCCGGAACATGGTTGTTTTTCAGCATGCTCACCCAGTACACTGTGATCTCAAGTTTACAGCCTCTTATTTTCATAATTTTGCTTACAGAATTCTGTTGGCCAACTCTGGTGCTTGATGAAGTTGTGTTTCTTTAGATCTGTTAACTTTTAATCCCTTTGGGCTGCTGTTGGTTATCTAGAGCTTCTGTGTGCTGTAGCTCATCTAGAAAGATTCCTAATATTTAGATTTTGTCTTTAGAGTTAATAGATCTATAAGGAACAGTAGGAAGGGGGAACACTCCATCATGTGGTATTTAAATAGTAATATTAGTAATATTTTTCCTTTACAGATGCAGCAGCTTTTTTATGAGAATTATGAACAGAACAAGAAGGGGTACATTAGAGATCTCCACAACAGTAAAATTCACCGAGCTATCACATTACATCCCAACAAAAACCCTCCTTACCAGTACAGACTGCACAGCTACATGCTCAGTCGCAAAATCGCCGAGCTGAGGCA